GTGTGGCCTGCTTTCCGGGTCCACTGGTGGAACCTCTTCTAACCGGTTCGGTAGATTTGATGAACCGGTTCTACCGAATAGGTGTGAACTGGTAGAAACCCACCTCTGATCCCCCTGCTCAAGCAGGGGACCCTATACCATTTCAGATAAATGGCTTTTTGAAAGCCTCCAGTGATGGAGCACCTACAACGTCTGAAGGCAAGTTGTTTCATTGGTTGATTGCTCTCACCGTTAGGAAATTTCTCCTTAGTTCTAGGTTGCTTCTCTCCTTGGTTAGTTTCCAGACGTTGTTTCTCACCTTTTGGTGCTTTCGAAAATAGTTTGAAACACCACCACCCCCCATCTTTGTAGGAACCCCTCAAATATTGAAACACTGCTCTCCTGTCACCCTAGTCCTTCTTTTCATTAGACTAGACACACCCAGTTCCTGCAACTGTTCTTCACATGTTTTAGTCTCCAGTCTCATGATCATCTTTGTGGCTCTTCTCTGCACTCCTTTCAGAGTCTCAACATCTTTTTTTATAGTGTGGTGAATCTTTTGATCTTCACCCTTCCATGAAAGAAATGCAGAGAACACAACACCATTGGTCCATCTACCCACGAAGTTGGAGTAACAAGTCGAATCATAAGTGTAAAGTCCTAACCCATGTCCTGACAGATTTATCTATCAGTAATGGTAATTTCATTTATGTAGATTACTCTATAATAAATACACCTGTCTTACCGGTCTTACCTAATCCTAAAATGATTGCTTCAACTAGGAATATCTATTCATTTGCTTGCTTTTTGATTCAAAGCCTATAGAGCAGTGTTTGTCAACCTTGGCAACTTGAAGATGTCTGGACTTCAACTCCCAGAATTCCCCAGCCAGCATTCACTGGCTGGGGAATTCTGGGAATGGAAGTCCAGACATCTTCAAGTTGCCAAGGTTGAGAAACATTGCTATAGAGTGTTTGAAGCTCCATTGAAGAGAATGAAAGCTACTTCTGAGTAGATATCATCGCCCTGCACTATAAAAAGCTCTCTTTAGCTATAATTCCATATCCATTTTCCTAAGTATAAAACTTTTTATTTTTCTAAGACCAATAAAATCTGATCAATCGTGTAATTTTTCACAAGCCTGGAAATGTTGTACAGAGCCTTGTGGACATAAAAAGAATTCAATGATTGGATGTTTAGGGCAGATGACATCCGAACTTGATTTGAAAACTGATTTACAAGAGATGAAAATATTTAAAGGCATTACAACGCAACAGCGTATGTTTCCTTGCAATATTCAAATGTTACAAAGACGTGAAAACTCTTGATATAATAATTTAGCAGGTCCAAAGAGAAATGCATTCATATTTCTAGGCGTGCACAATTTAATGACAACTTAACTCCTGTACACAGTAATTACAATTTCGAACTAGCCAATTTGACTTGTACTGCATTCCTGCATTAGATTTCTAATTAATTTATAAGTCGGACTGTCGGATTTGCCTTCATAACATCAACACCTTTTCTTGGACAAAATAAGAGGGTCAAACTACTGATGACCCCCCAAAAAACAACACAGTTTTTATTATTATTATTATTATTATTATTATTATTATTATTATTATTATTATTATTATTATTATTATTTTATTTTTTTTCAAAACAAAGACAACACATAAAATCTTCCTTTTTTACATACTGTAGAAAGTGTATCAGTTGGTTACAAAAGGTTTTCGTGCATCTCTTCCNAATACATGTTCACACAACATACTTTGGAGGATGTTGTGTTTGTAACCCAGTCCATAAATGATATCATTTGTAGAGCATTATGGCCTATGCCTTGGCACTTATGAATGGAATAGGAAGTGCTTTGTCATTCTGGCTTGGCTGTGGTCGTGAAAGAATAATGAAGGATCCGAAATGTTCATGGAGCTTATTTGTATTGGGCTGCGCAGGTGTGTTTGTGTCACCGATAATTAATGACTGACTGAATCTCATTCCACTGTTTCCACAGGCTGTTGACAACTCTAGAGCAGAAAAAGATGTGACGGCCAACAAATCAAAACATTGTGCTTGTAAAGGTCAAGATGATCTCCTGCTCTTCACCCTTCCGAGAAGTAAACATAGGGAACACGGCACCATCGGTCCACCTACCCCCCCCCCAAGTCGGAGGGGGAA